CGTTAATGAAACTCTCAGGCCAACAAAGGTGCACCGCGCCAAGAGGATCAATACAGATTCGCAGTCCAAACCTCACAGCCAACACGAACGTAGAAAGTTCAAAGAATTGCGAGGATGGACAACTTCTGACGTAAAAGATATAAAAAAAAATTTAATAAAAAACGTTTCGGTCAAAGACCTTCTTCAGTTATTTACCTTTCTTTTTTTTTTTTAAAAAAAAGTTGGTCCAAATTGACTGGGTTGGGCAATCTGCGTTTTTGGCGGAAATGCTGACGTTTCCTTAAGAGCCTGTTCCACTTGTTGTAGCGTCGACTGCGTCTGGTTGTGGGTGGATTATCCATTCCGGTGGCGTTGGGTAGGTTCAATTTAGGAGTCAAGGGGAATGGTCTTAAGCCACTTGCACTTTTCCCTTTCTTTCAAGTTGTGGAGTAGTTTGGCGTTTTCGCTCTTAAGGCCGTTTCATAGAAAGAGAGCCGAGTCAAAGCTAACTCGCGAAAACAACTGTTCCCTGAGGAATCTGAGCTCCCGTTGAAGAAGATTGACTTTCTCTTGGGAGGCTCGTAGTACCGCAGTGCATATGTCCCTTGATGTACGTTGAAGAGAGTGCTTACAAAACGTGCTAAGGTTAACATTATCAGTGTTTAAAGCCAAATGAAAACGAAAATTAAAACCAACCGGAATAACGTTACGAGCCAAACAAAGTTGAAGGAATGAGTAATGGTGCTGATACCTGGAGAGCTTGTTCCAAACAAAGGTAGCTTGTCTGACTATCGAATTTAGAGGCAACATCTTTGGATCAGCCAGAATGGATGATTCGCAGGTGGATGAGAGCAGAATATAAAACATCGCAAGTCGTGGAACTCTCAGGCCAACAGAGGTGCACCGCGCCAGGAGGATCAATGAAGATTCGCAGTCCAAACCTCACAGCCAACACGAACGTAGAAAGTTTAAAAAATTGCGAGGATGGACAACTTCTGACGTACTTATATATATACTAAATATATATATAAGTAGAAACTTGTAAGGGGTCCCACAAACAATGCTCATCAGTCTCAAACGCGCTGCCTGGAGGTTCACTGAAGCGATCGTGGGCCCTTGAAATACCGTAAATAAAAGCAGAAATGTGATGGTCGAGAGGCCAACTCCAATGTAGCTTTGTTGGTTATTAGCTCGACGTTTCGACCGTCTTGGTCTTCCTCATGAGCATACTAATTACATGAGCAATATTCAAATTTAAAATTCTTGTCAACAGTAAACATTTCATGACGTAATAATATAGAAATAGAATAGATAACAGCGAAACGTGTTATGGTGACTAAAATAGATAAGTTAAAGTAGTTATAATTCATGTAGTAAGCTTATTGATAGTAGGATTGAGTCTTAAAATCCAATAATTTTCTCTTGCTTTTCTGATTTCTTGATTTTGACTTCTAACTTTTTCAATAACCGTAAGTTTAAGATGGTCGACTCCACAGTTCTTAAAATGTCTGACAGAGGGTATGTTTTTATGTCCACCCTTGATGTCGCTACGGTGTTGATTGCCACGGTGGTGAATTGGGTGACCTGTCTCGCCTACGTACTGATCGTTACATTTGCTGCATTCTATCAGGTATATCACATTGCTAGTCTTGCATGACGTGTGTTGTCGCAGTGTTA